TTTTTTTTTACATAGGTCTATATAAATGACATCATTCGATGCGATACATATTCAGTACTTTTCTTTCTTCTGTTTATGCTTGTATTAGACCGGTTTATGTTGTATTTGTCTTCAGTTTTGCTCTTGTTATCGTTCGTCTGTGGCTTCATCAAAAAAATAAAAAAAAAAAAAAGAAATTGTTCGACACAATAAAAATAAATGACAATTCAGAGTTGTTTTGTAACTACAATTTAAGATCCGACAATAAAGCTTAACACCGAAGTCTTATTAAATATTAACGTTCATTGGTTGAATTAAAAAAAAACGGAACAAGTTGATTCCATTGCTAGAAGTCACCTTTTTTTTCTATGCTGTAGAACATATGCTACTCGTTAGAGATACCTGACAAACTTTTTATGGTTTATCTTTTATAGTGATAATCTTATACAATTTTATTATAATTAAATATAATTAATATTGAATGTTGAATTTTCAATTTTGATGAAAATTAAATTCTTGGAGAGATCGTAAAAAGAAAACAACTTAATGAAAGAATGAACAAATTCTTTTGTTAATAGGAGAAAAAGAAAATACTATTGACAAAAGCCTTTTATTAATCAAAACAAATTCAAATTCGTTTATTCCGATTTAAATTTGATGGTAACTTTATAAGATTTCTTTGAGAGGAAAAGTTACAAGAATTCGATTGGTTTATAATTGTATTTTGATGAGCAATAAGATTTCGACATCACAAAAAAATCTTTTATTTCAGTTGTAAACTCAGGATTTACATGACTATAAGAAAATTAAAACTATTTTAAAAAAATTGCATAATACTTTTGTTATGATTCAGACAATTATTCACGCATTATACCAATCTTATTTTCGGCGAAACATGAAGCCACATTTTTGTTATACTTTTTCGTTTTCTTTGTTAAACATATGAAATAAAAATAAGTTCCCAATTTCAACATAACGAAGTTGGACGTGCCCTTTCTTTTTTTTCAAGGTGAAAATTCCTAGATAAGTCAAATTTCTATAAAAAGTCTTAACATGTTGATTTGACTTAGCATTATCGGTCTTATTTTTATCCTATTGATTTAATAATGTGTGAATGTAATAAAATGGATATGAAATTTCGACATTTTTTATTACTTATATTGGATGATTTATCTGATATTGATCGATGTCGATTACATTTTGTTCTTGGAAAACAAATACCAAGACGTTTAAGACAATCAAATAGTATTGAAAATACAATTCAAATATTCGAATATTTAATCGATACTGGAAAAATTTTTACTTGTCTTGTTGAAGCTTTATCCGCTTGTGGAAGATCAGATTGGTCAAAAATATTAAAAGGTAAAATTGAATTTTGTTTGTTAAAAAATTTTATTTTTATCATTTTGCTTTTTTTCCCAGATTTTGAAACAACATCTTCTCTATCAATAACTCAGCCACATCGACAATCACATACAGAAATGACATTAACTAAATCAACATTAGATGAAATAATAGATGATGAAGAAGATTCGAGTTTTTCGTTTTTTAAAGTTTTTACTAAAAATCTTTGTCTTTTTAATTGACCACATTTTATTACATGGCATTTTGATACAACTACGTCAGAAAAAAGCAAATAAATGTCTTTCAAATTTTTATAAATAAAATCCGATTTTTTCTTATTGGATAATAATGAAATTATAAAAGTATATCACCGGAAAACCTAATATACTCAATTGCATGAAGTGTTCAGAAAAATAATGTTTATTTTTTCTTTTTGTTTTATTATTCCATGTTATCATATGTCGTTTGTTAGTTTCTCGCTTAGCTATTGAGTAATTGTTCGGATCCGAGCCGAGCCGACCGATCATCAATTGAGAACAAGGAAATAAAGTAAGCAAAACAATAAGTTTATTTTCTTTTTTTTTGACGATTGTAATCGAAACAAAAGAAAAATTGTTTTCTATCAACCCATTAGAAAATGATTTGACAGCAATTTTCTCGAGAGTCTCCTATGGCTTTGATGTCCGGTATGTATTGGTTGATGTAGAAAGAAGAAAGAGAAAGAGAAACTTCTTTTTTTTTCTCGAGAAACACATTAGCAGCAAGTTAAGCTTTCATTTTCTTTTTCTTTCTCTCATATCAATCGACATTTCATCACGATCATAAATCTGATTGACATCGGCGATAATCATGTTGACCTGGTTCTTACGTTTTCTCATATTTATTATCGTTTGTATATCTATTGCTCATACATATCCATCATCGATGAGCCATCGTCCATGGGTAAATTTCTTGTTAATAAAAGAAAAAATATCGTTCTATGATTCAAGTTTTATTTAGGTACAAGATCGTCTTGGTCATTTTCCTCATGGTATTTATGACGTAGCACCGGATAACGACGATAATGGTAACAAAGAAAAAGAAAACTATTTATTTTTTAAATTTAAAATTGTTTTTCTATTTATAGATCTGAATGAGAATGATCAGCTTCCAACATGGTTATTTCGTTCTCGTAAATTCTGTTGTGCACCACCATTGTAACTGTTTTTTCTTTATTTAAGAAAAAAAATAATCGCATAATTATATTGAAGAAATATCGAAAAGAAAAAAAATAATTAGATCCTTATAAATATTGTGTCTTTTTATATAATTGGCTGAATTATTCTTGTGGAAGATGTTATATCTTCAAATTGACCATCAAGTCTATCATTTGTTGAATTATCAATTAATATATTAACACCAGGATCAATAAGATCATCATCTTCACCATCATTTATTGTTGTATCGGCATACATTATTCGTGGAATAAGTACATTTAACCTAAAAAAATAAGAAAATAGTGAGATAAAAAGAGAAATTAGAAAAATACGTACCTTAAAGCTCGTCGAAGAAATTGAAAATAGACAAATGGAGCAAAACATATGTAAAACGTACTTGATATACCATCAATAATACTACAAAGAAAAATAAAAAATTTGTTCTAATTAATTTACTTAGTCATTAAAAGTACTCTTAGTCCGTGTTTTATCCGAAAATCGAAGTTTGTAATTATTTGTAGTACATACTATGCGTCTATGTTCTAAAAAATAGGTGTTCATCTTTCGGAAGAGAAAATCTGGAAAAAACACATTTCTAAATCTATTTCAATCAATTTTTGATTATTAGATTAGACACGAATATTAATGTTCGAGATTTATTGAGTCGGCTTTTGAGCGATAATTAGATGAGATTAATTGTTTTCTAAAACTATTATGTATATATAATTTAATCATGAATATTACTATGTCTATTCTATGATAGAAAAGTGATTAGATCTTATTTTTTTCTTTTCGATTATAAACATTCTTCTTTTGTTTCTATTTTATATGCATATTATCTAGGGAGTCGAAAAATAGAAAAAAAAAATCATTAAACTGAGAAAAATCAATATGACTATTGATATATTTCAAATTGATTGATTAAAATGAATATTTTCATCAATTTAATTCCCCTGATTTTGATAAAAAATCATTGTTACTTCATTTCCCTGATTAAATTATTCATTTTCATCAAGGAAGTTGATATACATCAACTTTCATCATCTGTAATGTCATTTTTTTTTGTTGTATAATATCCATGAAATAGTTTTTTTTTTTCATTTTTTAATATCATGCATATCAAGTCATATGAAGGCTAATTATATTTACGATTTATTGAGAAGAAAATTTATTCAATGCTTTATTTTCACAGTAAGTGTTTATAGTTATCATTCTGTAAAAATATTTTGTTTTGTATTTTTTTGGGTATCCTTGAAAGTTTATCTTGAGTTTATGATTAGCTAGCGAGTAATCATGTATTCGAACAAACGAAGAAATCAACGATAGTATATAATTTTTTCTTCCAAGTCTAATTGAATAGATTGTAAGAAGAGAATTTCCGTCATATGTGGTTAGTGCAATTGTTTGGATTTCCGTTGTGTTTATTTATAATCAAGGACTCGCAAGTTATGAAAAACATTTAAATAGTACCAATGTGTCAGAAATTTTCGCTGATTTTTCATTAAGCTCGTTCCTTTCTTTATAATCGATTTTCTCCCAGAAATAGACAAATTTATGTGAACTTTTCAGTTCTATAACATGATATTATCGTCAAACGTAAGTCAGTTGGCAGTCCGAAATTATCTGTAGATCTTTATTTTATATATTTTAATTTTCTTTTGTTTTATAAAACATATAAAGTTGCAGAACGTGACAGAGACATTTTATTTAAAATTCTTACTCGTTTTTTTGACGGCTAAGGGTAGCATAAAGTAATAGTTTAAACAAAGAATTTAGGATTATTAAATTAGTGCTTGTTGCATGAATATCTCATGAAAATTTGATGACGGTCTCTTTGCTAAGTCCCAATGTAAGACACTGTTAGCATACACACTGTATTCATCATCCACTCTTAGCGTTCAACACATACTTCAATTTACATATTGAAGTAATCAAAATTCTTGTATTGCTTATTTGATAGTCTTTTTGAAAAGCTATAAAATCACATATTTCTCAAAAAAAAGTTGGCGACTGAAAAAATTCTTTAACACACCATTCTCCAAGCTCAATTTTATGTGTGTCTTTTCGATTAGAAAAAGTTCAATTTAAATTCAAACTAATATGATATTTGAAATCCGTATCGAAACCTGAGTTAGCCTATGTATGATTTAAAGGATTCTTTAATTTTTTTGTTCCATCGAAATATTTATCCATGGTCTCCCTCAGGGTCCAGACGAAAAATGAACTCTTGAAAACCATGCTTTTATTTTCCAGATATCTACCATTTTGCCATCTTATTACTTTAAACAAACTTCGAGGTTTGTTTATAATGTCGAATTATTTTTTATCTGGCCTCTAAGGAAGACTAGGAGTCAATTTTTCGATGAAACAAAAAAAAAAGGTGGCCGAAAGTCTTTAAATCACACATAGACGAACTCAGTTTTTTATGTTGATTCAGAAGAACATATTAGTTTTGACTTAAGATTTCGAAATTTGATCAAAATCTCATGAAACTAGTATTTGTTTCAATATGCTCTTTCCGTTAATATATGATTCAATGAAGTCGATTAAGAAAAGGGCTGGTGAGTCGATTCGACCTCCTACGTGCCTCTCTCTTTTCATACGATTTGAATGTCTCTGGACTAAATTCGGGTTTGAAGAGAGCTGAGCGGGGCTCGAGTTACAACTATTTCGTTCATAAATAAGTAACACAGCGGTGCGCTATGTTTTAAAATATTAAATCGATAAGCTCAATGAGTTTCCTAAAATACTTTCATATGTTAACATCATTCAACGTTCTCTTCAATTATTTAAATGTAAATAAATTCACATACCACATGCTATATATTGTAGTTTCTGTTAAATTTAATATAGTACCAATTATTTGTATCATATTAATCAATGCCAAAACAAAACAATAAAAATAAAATGATCGACGAACTAAAATAAAAATAATAAATCGTCTTCAAGAAGAACTGAATTTATTATTTAATTTTTACTCGGTAAATATCTTTTATGTCGAAGACATAAACACGGTAAAAAGAAGATAATTATATACATCTAATGAAAAAAATAAAATTTTAAAATATTTGTATACAAAAAATATTTTAAATCAAATTACACTAAGAAAAATAGAACTTGATATAAGTAAAAATCTCATACCACCATATGAATAAAGATGATAATCACTTGTTTGAAATTTTATTGGACGAGTATTACGTCGAAATTCTAATATAGCCTTTATAAGAAAAATAATTTAGTCTTTTTAAACAAGAAGAAACAAAATTTACTTGTATAGTTATATAAATTGATGTAAAAATAAATGAAATAACCAATACTTTTAATGTCTTAATCGATGGACGATTTGAATTTGAACGACCTAAAGATAAAAAATGACTAAAGATATTTCATTTTTCATTATTTTAAAAATTTACCAAAACAAATTCCAAAAAGGAGAACACTTAGTTCTGTCCATAAAAGTGTAAATCGAATACATAACCAAAAAACCTTTTTAAAAACAACAAAAAAAAGACATTTATCCAAGAAAAAATCGACAGAAATTCTTTTGCTTTTTTTCTTACTTTAACAATAATTTCTTGTGCGTTGAATACATTGTCAGGAAATATCATCACAAATAAACATCGTAATATATTACTTAATGTAATAAGAAGAAGTAAACAAGTAACACTCAATAATAATGGCTTATTTATATTTATTTTAGTTCGTGTTAGAATCCATTTAATAATAATAAATAAAAGAAAAATGAGATTTGGAATAAGAATTATTACATCAAAATATCGAATTCTAAGAAAAGAAAGAAAAATATATAATGATTCGAAATTTTTCGAAGTTTAAAATAGAAATTCAATTAAGAACACATACTATAAATACAGGATGTCTCAAAAGTCCGGATACAAAAGGAATTTAAATACTGTTTTTTTTTTACAGTTTAATCCAGAGCTGGGCAACTCAACTCAAAATGGTGGTCAATTCAATTCAATTCATTGAAAGAAAACTTCAACTCAATTCAATTCAATTCACAGATACTATAAATTTTTTCTCAACTCGACTCAATTCAATTCATGCATCTTGGAAAAAGTATTCCAATTCAATTCAATTCAATTCATACATCTTGGAAAACTATTTCAATTCAATTCAACTCAATTCATGCGGATTGACAGTTTCCTTAAAACTCAATTCGTGTATCCTGAAAAACTTTTCCAATTCAATTCAACTCAATTCATGTATCTTGAAAATTGTTTCCAACTCAATTCCACTCAATTCAATGACTTAGAAAGTTTTTTCTGAATTCAATTCAATTCAATTCATCGATCACGAACGTTTTTTCAACTCAATTCAACTCAATTCTATTACTGAATTGAATTGAATTCAACTCAACTCGGTATTTCGTTTCCTTCACGTCTGACTATAACTAGAGTTATCCACTGTAGGACGATTTGAAGTATCTCTTCAACAATATTAGCAGACTGCAAGAGAAGGTCATAGTTGAATCAAACAATAATGAATAAAAGAGGAATACAGTATAAGAGGTATGAGTTCGCAATCGATAAGATACCAGTTAACAAACAAAGGATTTGCATGATATTGCCCTATAAGACAAGGATAAATGGACATTGTATCTAACACTGGAAAGAATAGGAAAACAAATTGATACGTTGAGAGCTTAGATGATTAAATTATATGCAATCGTCAAAAAAGAAAAGAAAATAGCGATAGTTTGACGCAAGCACATCGGAAATATACATCGAAATGGGAGTATGATGCAGCTATGTTGAAATAGAAGTTCGGAAGAAAAATTACAAAAACAGATCATAGTCATACCTTAATCTTTCATTAGTTTTGATGCGTAAATTGATCATACAACAACAGTTTCAGAAATATCTTTGAGTTGAATTGAATTGAAATGAATTGGCAAATCTCGAGAAAAATGCCTCAATTCAACTCAGTTCAATTCAGTGATCTCGGAATTTTTTTTCAACTCAACTCAATTCACTTTACTCATCTCCAAAAAAGATTTTCAATTCAACTCAATTCGATTCAATGCTCTCAAGATTTTTTTCAATTCAATTCAATTCAATTCAGTAGGCTCTGAAAATTTTTTCAATTCAACTCAATTCAATTCAGTGATCTCAGAATTTTTTTTTCCAACTCAATTCAATTCAATTCCTTGATTAAAATTTTTTCCCGACTCAATTCAATTCAATTCATAGATGTTTGAAAGTTTTATCCAATTCAATTCAAAACAATTAGTATATCTTTGAAAAATGTTTCAACTCAATTCAATTCAACTAGTTAAGTCTGAAAAATTTTTGTCAACTCAATTCAACTAGGCTCATGAATTGAATTGAATTGAGTTGAGTTGGTCGTTTTTTGAATTGAGTTGCCCAGCTCTGGTTTAATCATATATTCATTAAAGTTCAGTTCAAATAAAACGTCTACAACTACAGAAGTCACTCATGATCAAATTTAAATAGCTAGCACTGTAAAATGATAACTAGAAATTAAATTTGGAAAAAACACATTAACTAAACATTGTATCAACAATACATTCCAACGATTTTGTGAAATCAATACTGTCGAAAACCGATACCCGTAGAGTAATTACTGAAGAAAAGGTCGATAAAGTTAATGACGTTTGTAAAAATAAGTTTGATCTTTGTAACTCGTCTTTGTGAAACAAATTGTACCTTGTATGACCTTAATAAGAGATGTTCCGTCATAAACCGGTTTGTTATTATTTGTGGTAATGAGAAAGCTTGTGTAATCGATGGAATACTTGGATCCTCTTTCGACAATACTGGATTTACAGAATCATTGGAATGTGTAACAAATGCATTTTTTAGATTAAGTGTTTTTGCCGAATCCGGCATGCAGTTTTCGTTTTACAATGAGAGCTGATTCGGACTTGACCATCAGTATTTTTAAAATTAAATAGTACATTCTATAAATATGACAGAGCCTTTGAGTAGCCGATTTTTAAGAGAAAATTTTTTGGAATCTGATCTCGTTGAAACTTTTATCATAGATGTAGCTCATATCATAGAGTCTATCCTGAAATTCTTGGATTTTTCAATCATATAATTAGAAAATGACTAGGTAATTATTTGTCATTAAGTATCCACTGAAGGAGCCAACATTTTTACGTATGTTTATACTAAAAGAATCTACTCAGAAAAACAATTCTGATAAAGAATTAAAGTCAAATGAAAGATGACTTTGTTTCGATCTTCCTGCCATTGCTCATATCGCGACTTGAGATATGCGGAAGCAAGTTTTTTGTAGTCTCAACCTTGGAGAAATCATTTCAAAGTGAATTTATATCAAATCTTAAATACAAATGTTTTGATTATAAATTTTCTTGTTTTTTTTTGATCGTCTCTGCTGAGTTTATTTTTATGAGTATGATTCATACGATGATTCGTTCAAAACAAAAAAACATTTAACAGTCATCTTTAATCTCGAACCTGGAACTAAAACTGGTCTCGTACATCTCTAATCTTGAGAGTTCGATTCCAATAAAATCTTGAGTAAACTCTCACATCTATAGACGCTCTCGAATAATAAAAAATTCATGAGTACTCATAGTAAATAAATGTAAAGAACTTGAATTAATCTCTCATTCTATTATTAACCTTGTCAAACATAATCAGTTTCAACAAAGAAAATTCTTTTTCTAAATTCAACTATTATTAGTAAATATGTTCAACACAGCTTCTCATGCCGTGCAAACCTTAGTTCTTCTGCTTGATTTGTTTTTATATCTCACTGCATGAATATTGTTAAACTTATAGAAAAATGTTAGGTTTCAGTGCAAATTTAAGCACCGTGGTGCTGCCTGTATCAGCTACATCGGTTATTTTCGTTTAATTTTCAAGTTTGATTATTTATTAAAGATGGAGTCATCTGACAAAATATACTGTGACATATTAAAATCCACTTTTTTGAGTAGCAGTCGATCTCTTCAGCGACAAAAAAATATTAATTTAATAAAAAAGTTATAAAAAAAAACGTCATGTTTTGGGGATTTTGATTTTGCGACAAAATCATTTTCAAAAAAAAAAGACTAAATTGTAATAAAACCGTTATCTGCAGATATGAGCGATATAGGTAATATACTGATATAGTGCTGTGTAACTTATACCATTATACCGCTACACTACTATACCTCTTATATCGATATACTACTATACTGCCTTAAATTGAATGATAAGGCCATTTATGATTAATTTATGACACAGAAACAGACCGTATTTTGTCGGTAATGTCTGACGCAGAAATACAACTATATCGTGGTGAGATTTTCGCACATGTGCGATCGTATACAGTGAAAATACGACATCGCATACAGTGCAATTTTATTATACCAAAGGCTACGAGAACATACGAATGACTTTATCCGTCGACGTGGGCCTATACCTCTTATACCGATATACCACTATACCGTTTATAAGGATTCTATCTCTTATATTTACGATTTACTTTTTGCAGACGTTTATTTATTTTTTTTCTGAATTTGTCGCACAATCGAATTCTCCATGAACTCAAAAGCTTGATCAAAAAAAAAGGAATAAACCGTCGTTTTTGATAAAAAATTGACGGTATGAGTTTGTTATTTTATGTATAGGTCAAAACGAAATACTTACTGGGATGAAAGAATTTTTTCTGTTCGGCATCGAACACAAAATGGTAAATACTTAGAATCAATTAACATCTAAAAAATTGAATCGATTCGTTTTTCTTTTGAGAGTCTTGAAATAATAAAAAAGAAAAAACTATACGGTGGAATGAATCAGTGGAGTTACAGAAGAAAAAAAGATAAATAGATCATGCACATTAATGACACTGAATATTATCAATAATAATAATAGAAAAAAAAAAGAAAAGAGATGTTTTATTATTTGATTATCTTAATTTCGAAGTAATTTTCGAATCCATTCTTCATAATGAATCAGCCCATTTTTATCTTCAAGACCTGTAAGTAATTGTTCGACTTCTTCATCAGTTAAACGTTCACCAAGATTTGTTAATAAATGACGAAGTTCAGCTGATGATATATTACCATTTTGTTCTTTATCAAAAACTTTTAAACCTACAAAAATATATATATATATATATAAATCGTTTTTTTTTTATTTTCATTAAATTGAATATATACCTTCAATAAGTTCTTCCTCACCCATACTATTATCTTTTTTTTTTGCTAAAGAATCATATAATGGTAAAAATTCTTCAAATGATATTCGATCAGTTTTTAAATTTTGTGTTGTACTTTTAATTTGTCCTTCAGTTGGATTTAATCCAAGTGCTCGAACAACTTCACCAAATAAATGTTTCGAAATTTTATCATCACCACGATCATCAAAAAGACTGAAAGCATCACGAAAATCTGGTGTATCATCTCGTAACATCGGCATTTCTTGTTCAATAAATATTGTTTTTATCTACAAATAAAAATAAAACGTGTTATATCGACTTGTCTATTTAAATTAACCCTTTTATTTGTTGACTTTCGTTTGAGTGAGTGGCGTCTATCATGTACAATGTATGAAACGTGAATGATGTTTCATGTAGGAGGAAGAGAACGAGGGCGGTGAAAAGAGAAAGAATTACTATTTGATATGTTATGCGAAACGTGTGAATCAAACATTCGACATGTATATATATATATATATATATATATTGATAAGAATGATAGGAATTCATTCTCTTATATAATATATTTATATTTATTATTTAAAATGAAGATATGTCTTTTTTTTTAAGATCTAGAACACAAGAACATCAGCCAGACTGTATAAGAAAAAGAAAATAAAGAAGAACTCATTGATATCACAATAAGTATATATAAAATCATTTTTGTATTTTTTTTTCAATAGATAAAAGCGTAGGCTAACATTATCATGAAAAAAAAAGAAAAACCAACAATAATAACAACACCAACAAGATGAATAAATAGACTGTTTTTATTTTATTTTATTTTATTTTTTTATTGTATCATTAGAAGTAAGCGTGAGCGGTCATTGATAAGAAGAATAAATTAAATATCATGCAATCTCTATTTATATTATCATATAAATAGATCAATAATATGAAATTTAAAAATCATCATATTCGTATTCGCAGTATGAATTTTTCTTTTACGGACTATTAACCGCACATTGTGCTAATAAATGATTACGACATATATCGCAAACACGAACTGGTTTGTTTGAACTAGGTAAAGGTAATTTTGTACTGGCACAAGTTTCACAAAAGATTTGACCACAACTAAATATAATAATAAGAAAAAAACATATTAATAGGAGTCTTTTTTTTATATTGAAATCAAATGTTTATTGATTTTTAATAAACGGAAATTTTCAATCATTCGTTTGTCTTTTTAAACTCCTTTCTTTTGGCTTACTTCTACTTTCTTGTATTAATTCACTGAAAATGACCAAACCGAGCCAGAACGTTTAGATTCGGCCCCAGTTGAATCTAGAGGTGTAAGTCGATAGGTTGAGCCAATGGTGACGGGGTTCAGCGGCGTCGCCGCCACACAAAAATAGATACTTGATTTTTAAAAGTTTCCGGCGTTTAAAATCAGTTTTTGATAGATGCTATCGTCTGATTTCTTTCGAATAAGTTCTCTATCATCGTTTTCTCTTGTTCATTTCGAAGTTAAGAAAATTTATCGAAAAATATCAATTGCTGCCGATCAATACATCGGCTTACATCTCAGGTTGAATCTCAATTATTCGCATATATTTTACTTTTTTTCCTATATGCTATCTCATTAACTCGAATCGTCTATCACCTTATCTTTGTAACATCGAAATAGAAGAAAATTAATTTATTGAACTTAATGAATATTTGTAACTTACTTTCGACAATGATGTTTTCTTCTAAGTGGATTAAACTCTTTTTTACATTGACAACATTCTTTAACATCTTCATCTTTCATCCATGTTGATAAACGTAGACCATCTTTTTCTCGAAATTCATCTTCACGTTTAATAGATACTTCTAATTTTAAAGCTAATTCTTTTACAGTTTCTTCTTGTTCTTGAAATTTTTTTTGTAAATCACTTTGTTGTCTTGTCATTTCTTTTTTATATGAATCATATTCCTAAAAAGAAAAAAAATCAAACTTAAAGAAGAAAAAAAAAACACAAAAGAAATTTTTATTTACTTGTTTTATTAAATTTAATTCATGAATATCAAATTGAAGTGATGAAACTTTTTCTTTTTCACTTGTTAATGCTTGTTGAAGACGTTGACGAAAATCTTTTTCAACACGTAAATCAGTTTCAATTGATGTTCTATATAGAACAAAGAACAACAACAAACTTTGTTTAGTTTTTTTTTAATATTTAAATAAAATAACAAACTTTTCAGCATCTAATCTAGTAAGATCCCGACTTAGAGATTCATTTGTATCATTGAGAGCATGTTTTTCGCTATTGATTTGTTCAATACTTCAGGAAATGAAAAGAGAAGAATACAAAGAAAATTAAAAAAGTTTTTTTTTTTACTTAGATTCTAATTGACTAATCGTTTCTCTTAACATTTGGTTTTCTTTGCCTAATGATTGTATTTGATATTCTCTTTCATCATTTCGATTTAATTCAAGCTAAGAAATAAATAAATAAATAAAATTTTCGAAAAATTCGTTTATATTTTACTTGTAATCTTTCTGACAAACGTATATTTTCTGCTTTAATACTATCAATTTGTTCTTTCATATGATTATATAATGTTGTTTTTACTTCTACATCTTTTTCCATTACTTTTGTTGCTTCAATAAAATCATTTTTTTGAGCTAATTGTAATTGATATTCTGTTTCAACATCCTATTTATTTAAAATAAAACATTTTTATATGGAAATAAAAAGAAAAATCGATTCTTCTTTTTTGTGTTATGTTTACTTGTTTGGATACACATTCATCTTCATATTTCTTTTGTAATTCATTATAAATTAGATCTAAACCAGATCGAGATTTTTGATAAGTTTCACGTTCAACTGCCATATCAGCATTTAAAGCCTAAAAATAATTCAATAGCTTATAGAAATTGTAAATTGAGATAATTAGAAATAACTGAATGTAATATGTATCTGGTGATTTTAATTAAAACTCAGCCTATTTTAAGATTTGTTCAAATGAAATTCAAATACTTTTCTGATGAACGGAAAAACTTAAAGAAAGATCAATGAGTAGAGCATGAGAGAGATTTTGAGGGTGAAGGTAGACATGAGTGGGACCGATCGTTTTTGGTCCTAGTCAACTTCTTCATAAAAGTTCATTCGAAAACTTTTAACAATGAAAGTAAAAAGTGAAAATGTTTTAGGTTTATCAGTGGTCTTCAATTATAGGGGGATGAGCAGTCTGGCCCAAAGCCCCATTAATATTTTTTTTATTGTAAGGATAAAACATACTATTATTCGGATCATATGAGAGAGGATACCGCATAGCCCTGGATTGGCCCGAACAATACCATGCTGTATCCTTACAATAATAGAGAAAAGCTACCAGGTCACACGATAAACAGGTAGCTTTTCTCTATTATTGTAAGGATACAACATGGTATTGTTCGGGCCAATCCAGGGTTGTGTGGTATCCTCTCTCATATGACCCAAATAATAGTATGTTTTATCCTTACAATAAAAAAAATATTAATAGTGTTTCGGCCAGACTGCTCATCCTCATAGGATCGAAAAAATATAAGAAATTATCATTTTTGCAGATTATCTAAATTGATTATAGAAATATGTATAAAAAAAGATGAACCACATTTTCTAAGGTTAAATAAAGGAATAATTTTTAATACAGAATCCTTTTTTTTTTTGGAAAAATGTTTGGAAATTAAATCATACTTTTGATCATACAGCTTTTTGTGGCTTTTCCCCAATTCAACACACAAATTCTTAAACTTGAATCGAATTCCGAGTCTTTCACTTTAGTAATTAGAACATGGATCGAATGTGTAATTTAAAGCAATAAAATTTTTAATGATTGTTCACATGATTTTTGATCATAAATCGTTAGTTATGGAAACTGAATTTCGACAAATTTAAATAACTATAATCGAAATTGTTCTCATGCTATCTCCAATTCAAGATGAGTCAATGAGTAGCTACAACCTTGTCTATTTATCCAAATATGTTAAAATAACTTACTTCAATTTTGGATTGATAAGATAATTGTATCTGTTCTTTTTCTGCTTTCGCTTTTTTCAAGTCTTCTTCCAATTGTCCAATTCGTATTTTTTGTACTATTGTATCTTCTAGTAAAGATTTATTTGTTTGTTCAAGTGTTTGTATACGTTTTTGTAAATTTGTAACTGTTTTTCTATATTTAAAGTGAAAAAAATGTTTTAAAACTTATGAAGGAACTTGTTTAACTGTCGGTCATTCTTCGACTTCATGTTTTCGCTAGGAGTACGGCTCAGTGGAACTAAGAAAACCATGAGCTTAGATCTATGCATTACTCATCGAAAGTTATCACCGTTTTCAATCTCTGGACCAATCAGTTACGAGGTTTTCATTTGAAGTTTCGTCCATAGTTAAGTCTCATATCCACTAAAATGTTCTAAAAGTTTTAGTGCAAACTAATATATTCTTCTTGAGGCATCGAGCGTGTAAAAATCTAAATTTCAAATAAAACTCCCATAACTGATCGATCTAGAGAAGGAAAAGCTACTAAAACGATCATCACTCTAACTGAGTGATGCATGGACCTAAAACAAGGAAAAACAAGCGGCAACTCCATACGTCACCGTACTCCAAGAATATGTCAAAGCTATCTTTTAGAACTTTTTAGCGATTTCAATTCTATTATCAATATATGTCACGAACATATTTACTTCACTGACAAAATCTTGAAGTACGATGAGATATTTAGGCTTTCTTACCAGACAGAATTATATAAAATATCATGTCCTTCAAGTATGGGATTTTCAGCTTTTTCTCTTAGTCTGAACCCATTTACAATTTCTCTTTGATTTCACTGACGAGTGAACCTCTGCAGATATCGAATCGTTTTTCGACCGAGACGAGTTTAGAATGGTTTGATTTTCGGAGCTTTCGTTCTCGAGATATCAAAATTATACTGAGTTTTCAACAAAAAGTTGTGATAATGTGAATAATCGACTTTCAACTTCGAAATTGGCACGAAGAAAGTTCTTAATGAGATTCGTTGATTGTGCAATTAGTATTTTCTTTCTGGTGGAGATGAGCACAATTTGCTGTTACACATGAGAGAATTTTGAATATTCAGTATCTCAAGATAGGAGATACTAGAAAAGTTATAACTTGTCCAATGAACTAGTCTCATTGAGAACTTTGTTCATGTACAGTTTGAAGTCAAAAGTTGATTTTTCACGTGATCATAACTTTCACTGGTGCTCATCAAAAGAACATTGTTTTGGTCGAAAAGCGATTCGATATCTGAAGAGATACTCTCGTGAGTACAGACCGTCTTTTTTAATGATACGGCGACCACCGAGATCTACACATAAGTCTTACTCATAACGAAAATATGTACTTAAAATTCGTCTAACAGTTGAATATATTCTCTCATTTGTTTTATTTAATTTCAATTTACTGTAAATTTCGATGAAGTTCTTCAATATAATTTTTTTGATCAAGTATATTTGAAATTCGTTGATCATCAAATGTAACAATATCATTTGAATTTGATAAAATAGTTGTATCAGAAGTTTGTGTACTTGTTCGTAATATTATAGGTGATGATGATAATGATGAATAATCATCTAATTCATCAATATGATCTTCAATTGAACCAGGTGGATGAATATTATTTGATATTGATTGTGATGGTACACGTCGTTCACGTAAATATAAACTATAATGAATAGTTGTTTCACTTGGATAATCTAATGTAGCTTCTTTTAAACAAAAATTTAAATCTAATACATTAAGACCAACAAGTAAACCACTTATAATTGATATTTCATCTGATAATAATAATGCTTCATTATCATAGAATTCTTTTAATTCTTGTTTTTGTTCAATAAGAATTTTAAAATAATCAGCTAAACGTTTTTGCATTAATGCAAGACGTAACCATGCACGTACACGTCCTAATGGTGTTCGAATATTTGTCATTTCTTTTGATGACAAAGAAATTTCAATAACATTAGCATCAGTTGATTTACGTGCAATAAGTTCAATAAGTGGCCAAAGATCTTTACGATTTGATGATGATGTTATTGGAAATGATTTTCTACCTGTATAACCATGTAATAAAATATGTTCGAAAACAATAAAAAAATGTTTCAATGGAAAATATTCTTTTTCAAGTAAACGTTCATGTCGGAAACTTGAATTTAATAAATCTTTTATAACTAATTTAAATACACATAATAAATTTTGTTTTTCAGTAAGTAAATTTTCCGAATCTTAAAAAAAAAATTAAATTATTAAAAGAAAACAAAATTTCGTTTTCTTACTTTGTTCCGTTGTATTAAATAAATTAGTTAATGAACGCCCATCACTTGTTAATGAGAACGGCATAATAAAATTGAAATATTAAATATAAATATTTAACAACGAAGAAACAGATTGCGAACAATATCCTTCGATCGATTCAATCACGTTTTTCTTTTCTCTTGAGAAAGATTTATTGGTTGTTAGACGCCATTTTATTTTTTTCTTCCAAGTATTTGACCATTACGGATATTTCAAACGTGCTATAAACTTGGCCTACAGAGACATCTAACGGAAGAATAACTTTCATGAAGAATTTTTAAGTATTAAAATGGAAATCTCATAAAACCAAAAAGATAACGTTTTTCTTTTACTAATTTTATCATTTGTATTATTTAAATTTCCTTGAATATAATCCTAATAGTATGATTTGGACTATTTAATTATTGAATTCCCATATGAGAAAATTCTAATTTTTGTTTTATTTAATTTGTATTAAATAAATAACTCCACTTGATCTGATTTTAAAAGCAAATATTTACGAAATAATTCATTTATTAATTCAAATATTATTTCTATATTAATAATCACCGGTCAAGTGGTACAAATGTTCACTTGAGAACCTATCAATCATATGTTTATTCTCATCATGTCTACATTTTAGTTTCAAGTTCGTTTTGATTTAATAAACACTCGAAACAAGAAGCTATTAGCGCAATTCCTGTGATATAAAAATGTTGGGCCCGATGTAGTTCTTGTTCCTAATCATAGAGAGATTACTTTATTCTATCTATTTTGTGACATATTTCTTCATTCTTTTATGTAACCTTCCAGAAATTCAATAAGGAAGTGGTTTTTTGAGCGACCGTGCCTTAATCATATCAGCTATTAAAGTCTATTGCTAGGAAATTTAAAAAAGAAGACTGTACATCAAATGCTGAAAAGTTAAGAGAAGGAGTTTATTCGTTGACAGATTCATTTTGTTAAATTTATAAATTAAATCATAATCAATGTTGATTAACAATTATTTTGATAACAAATTGATTTAACTCTAAACTTAGTGAATTTCATTGTGACGAGCATAATAATATTTAAATTCATATTAAATTAAAATTTGCACAAATTTAACTACAATATAAGTTAAGATTGAAACAAACATCCTATACGTATATATATGTCTGGTTACATCTTGCCTAATTAAATATTCTTTCGTGATATTTTCAAATTTATGTTGTTGTTCTTAGGTAAGTGTTCAGAAATGAAACACTATTTTTTCAGTAATATTATAAAGCAACAAATATGACGGAGCGGTTGCGCCTACGATTCAGAAGACTTTAGACTGTGACCGCCTCTGCTTAATTTTGTACGCGCAGCACACATCCCTGATAATGAGACTTTATTGACATACGATCTATGACATTTCTATGGTCGCTTCTGTTACCTCTGATGATGGTTAGACCAGTTTTTTTCCGTAAGTAGAAAATTAAAGTAGGATAATGATATTACAGAATGTTCAAACAGGACCTTCAGCGATATTGTTAGACTACATGCTACAGTTAATCAAAAAACTCAAATCCAATTGATCAATCTCTTATTTAACCGAACGATTCATTGGATCATTTTCCGTTTAGTTGTCAAAGGTAGATATCCTTCTATACAGTTTATTGATATAATTCGTAATCAGTGAGATCTAATGTCTGTGAGAGAAGGAGAATAGATCTCAATTTGTAACCTTATACTTCAACATTCCTTTTAGATCGTGTTCCATAAAATACGAGTAGATTTCGATTTCGATTTCAATTTTAATTCTTTTTTTTTATTTTGGGACTTTGAATACAAAATTATTTAATGCATTCATTAGTAACATAATACACTTCATAGAAATCAATTTAAAGAAATTGCTCATATTTCAATAAAATAAATTGATAAATTGTTCATAACCATAATATGTATTTTGTTCAATATATATGAATAAAAATGAGAACTTTATTATGCGTCTCTCATCATACAAGAAAAAATATGAGTGCACACCTGATAAATATGTATATTTCTCATATAAAATACAAAAATAATTATTAGTGAAGTAAAGAGAAAAGGAAAATATAAAAAACTCGTGGATGCTATACAAAAGTGATAAAATCCCTTAAATATACACACTAAATATTTAAGCAATGAAAAATAAAAGACTAGAAAACAACAACAACAAAAAAAGAAATGCTGTAAAAAGCTTGAATAAAATGAATCAATTATCACTATTTCATGCACATTGCTTTAAAACGTTCAGGTAAAAGATAAATAAGAATTAATTGTACAATAGTCATTGATTGTTCACATGGATCCATAATTCCACGTTGTACCCATTTTGGAATAGTTAAACGTGCATGACGAAAACCTAATTTTTGTAAAACATAATCAGCACCAAATGGTTCAACTTCATTTCCATATGCTGTAAGAAGTTTTATTGCTGGTTGTAATTTCCATTTAGCATCTGGACAAACAAACCGACGTGTATCATTAGTTCGTGCATCCTCTAATGGTGGAAGTGTTTGACTATCAGATGAAGTAGTTGATGATCCAAGTGATCGTTGTCGAGATCTATCATTTATTGCAGCTGCTACAGCTAAAAAAAAAGAAATAAAAATGAGAGGTTCAATAACTGTTAAAAATAGTCTCCTCAAGAAATTTGATTTCTTCTATGTCAAACAACAACATAAAGTGCACAAAAGTGAACCCGCGGTAGAATTAGTCAAATAACCGTAAACAGATCGATTGAAATAGTCAATAATCTTCACATTTATATTTTCAAGCGCTTCAAAAAAAGCATGAAAAACATTGACCACTCAAGCAAATCCTAAGAACACTGTTTCTCGAGACAAATTCTTGAGCCTTTTTTTTACTAGTATTCACTGGATTTTGACAAGAAAAGTGCGATTTGGATGAAAACTAATATAATATTTTGAATCAGCATTCAAAACTAAGTGGACTTACATGTATTTTAAAAACTTTCGCAACTATCTGTTTTTGTTGAAAATTTCACCTCTGAGTCCCTCGTCAGGGTTGGGTCAAAAAATAAACTTTATGAAAACTCTGTTTTGTATTGTTTATTTATCTGCTATTTGGAGTTCTACTATCGTTTCATCACCTTAAAACTTGACTCATACTGTCAAAATAACTTTTCAAAAAAATTCATCTTTTGACGCAACCTGGAGGAGATTCGAGGTGAATTTTTCGACGAAAAAAAAAGGTTGCGAATATTTTTGAAATATGTGTGAGTCTGCTCAGTTTTGGATGCTGATTCAAAGGACTATCGAGCATTCGGATTGGTAAATAAAAAGAGCTGGTCATTCTCAACAGCCAGGTATAGTGTACGTATGATTGATATTGACTATTTCAATCGATTAAGACACAGCACAGATAAGTGTCATAAGTCTAATTCTACCAGAGATCATTTTTGGACACTTTGAGTGAGAGTTTGACATGATGGAAATCATATTTCCGTGAGAAGCCGATTTCATCGACTTCCTTCTTTTAAACTAGATTTTCACGTTTTTTTTTACTTCGTTCTTTTTCTTTGATATATGAAGATATAAGATCATGTAAAAAGTAAAAATGTTCAGCATTAAATGTAAACATAATATGTTCATAAAATTCCGTTTCAAAACTACAATGTACTTGTCCTTAAAATAAGAAAAATTGAAATGAATTATTAAAATTAGAAATTGTCTTTTTTACCTTGTAATTGTCGTGATTGAAAACGTAATTCAAGAGCTGGAAGAATAAATATTGATTCAGCATTTTGTTCATATCGTCTTGAACGTGCTTGACTTTTTGGTGATGTTATTTCAGGTTCATCCATTGTTGGAAAATCACGTAAACCTTAAATATATAAATTATATATGTATATATACATATATATATCATGAAAAGAATTCTTTTTCATAACTTACCAACAGCTGATATTGCTGAACTTGCATAATTAAACCATTCATTTATTGTTAAATGTGATGGTGCTTCATTACTATTTCGTGTTACTTTAGATACTGAAGCCATATTTGTACGAGATTTTAAACTTGAATGCGTAGTTTGACTTTGATGATCCAAATAAAAAAATAATTTTTGATTAACTAAAAAAAGAAAATATTAATTAATTATCATATGAAAATAAATAACATACTATCGCCTTGTTCACCATGATCAGTAACAAAAACAATTTGTGGTTCATTAAGTGAAAATAAAGCCCATTGACGTGATTTAAAATTTAAACCATGAAAAATAATTACAGTTAAATTATGACCTTGTAACATAATTTCACCACCATTCATTCCAATATGTTTTTTAATAATATCTATATTATATTTTGATTGTAAAGTAGAAGATGTTTTTGTTTGAGTATTCATTTCAGATTTTTTATGTTTATTATCATTGCGAAAATCATATTGTATTGATGCTAATAAATGTTTTGAATTAGCTATTTGTGCATTAACAAATTCAGTTAATTTCATAGTCATTTTTATTATATCAGGTGTTGTTGAACGTGTTATCATTAAATGTAATTGTGACCAACTAAGATTAAGTAAAACTAATGTTGATGGAGGTATTGTACTTTTATCTATTGTTGTTGTATGACGATCATCATTTAATCGAAGTAATATATGACATATACGACCCATTAATGTTGGAGAACCCATATAATCAAGACGAATTTCAATTGCATCAGTAAGAATATTAATAGCATGAGATGCATCAACAAGAAGTGATCGATCACGAAATTCTTGACGAATAAGACCTGAAATAAATATTCATTTTGTTTTGTTATATCAAATTCAATACTAGAATGGAAAGTATTTCTTATGATATTAATATTCAACTCACGAGAAAAATCTTCCAACTGAAAAAAACCGCTATTAAACCGAGACTATGTGCATTATTTAGATTCAAATAAGTTATGAATACCCTGATAATAGCTCAGATCCTTAGCTTATTCCTGCCCGGATATTGCACTTTTACGATAATTTTTAAATGAGTCCTCCCTCAGGGACATCAGAAAAACTGATTTTCGAATTTCGATTTAGAGGTACACATTAATGAGAATAGTTTTTTGTGAATGTATCAGATCTTATCGTTGGTCCTATCTTAAGATACGTATATGGTAAAAGTGTGTGGTTTATATATCGTTCATATATAACTGTAGATTCGACATTCTTATTTCAGGATAGAAGCACATCAAATGATCTGAAAATTTTACACTAAACTATTCTTATTAAGATCTACCTCTACGTTGAAATTCAAACATCAAGTTCTCTGATGCTTCTGAGAGAGATTCAGTTAAAAACTACCGAAAAAATCCAATATTTCGACAACAATTATCTAAGAACCTGAACTGTTTTCAGGGTATGCTAACTCATTTGGTTCTACAGAATGCAACTAGCTGCAAATTAAAAGCGATTTATCTTTTGGGAGACTTTCCTATTCAGGAGAAATATAGAAAAATCATTCGATCGACTTCTTTCCTTGTTTTTATTACTAAAAAAAGAATGACAAACACTTTCGATTCATAATTAGTCTCTCCCTTGAATCAGATCACTTTACTATAAATAGACACTCTCATATAGTAACTCTCCAGAGCATTAAACATGACATCTAGTAATTGTTTACCCACTCTTGAGATACGATTTGTACAGTCAACGTCGCAGAAATTCAGATCTGTCGCCTAAGTTATCGGCATATATTAAATCCAAAGCATCTAAATAAAGACCATTAAAGAATCAAATTACGGAATTCTTATCTGAAATTTTATCTTCGTAAAGAAGTAGAGACATCATTTGATTCTAAACAGCTTAGTGTTTCAGAGTTACTGAATTTAAGAAATTCTATTCTGTTCTGTTACTTAGCATAACGTAAAACGCCAATTTTCTCAATCCTGGCTAATTACGACTTTTCTCTAACTTTGTCCGATTGGACTGAAATTTTTAGCACACATACTTGGAAGTATCCACCGGAGATAAAAATCCGTCTTTTTCGTTTTTAACTTTCCTATACAGATTTATAAAATTCTGAAAATCAACGCTCCGTTTTTGGCTTCGAACTTTTGTGTATTTCTCTCATAAAAAAAAACCAAATTTTCGAAAATGCTCAAAAATATCTCTTAAACATCTCCAAAAAAATTTCAATCTGATTGTCTGTACCCTCTTCGAGAATCATAAATAGTCATAACAGGTGGAGATTTTCTTCAATAGAAAATTATAATTAATATGAATTCATCATTACCTGTTGCTCGAACATTTTTTAATCGTGCAATACCTCCAATAATACCTTGTTCAGCTTGAAATGTAGAATTTTGTAAACCTAATGAAAGAGAAAATGTTCGTTTTCCTTCACTTGTTAATGTTAAACTTCCTGTTGAATGAACATCTTGTGTATTCCATTCAACTTTTCCCATAACATTTGACATACGCATTGATATATGTAATTCTTTTAATTGTACAGCTAAAATAACACGTGCTTGTTTACGTATTATTTTATTTGCTGTTGTTGTTGTTATTGTTTGTGTTATTTTATATGATGTTGGAATTCTAGCTGATAAATTTTCATCACCTCCAAAGAAAAGACGACGTGCTAATGAACGATTATACCATATTTTTGGAAATGTTAAAACTTCTGAAAAACGTCTTATATCATATTCAAATTGTGCTCGTGATATTTGTGCAATAATAGATAATTGTATATTATTTAAATATTCAATATCATCATTAATTAATATATAACGTGTACGTGCAATATTTATTGAAACAGATTGTACACTAACAGCTAATGCATTACGTGTTTGTAATTGTCCAAAACGAATATCTTCAACTAATTGTATTTTAGGTACACCAGAAAATGGATGATAAACATTTAATTTAAAATCTTTCATATATAATGAAAAATTTAAACCAACAAGAGAATTTTCTAGAATATCTTTAGATAAATTTTCATTTTTTAATGATGATATTGCATCAGATAATGTACGTTTAGATGAAAAAATAATATCAACAGTAGGTAAACGAAGTTCACATTCCATTGGATGTGTTGGTAAACATGTAAATAGAAGAACACATGGTTGAATATATATACTAGCAACAACATCAATAGGAAATGAAGTTGGTGATGTTTGATCTTCGATTAAAAATCTATTTTAAAAATAAAACAAGTTATTCTATTTAATTATACAAATCGTATTCAATCACTCTATGGAAGACTTTTATTTATAGGTAATCTTGAATCAAAGTTATGATTATCACTACATATGAATATACTGGAAGAAGCCTGTTTGTTTGTCGATAAGGTTTTCGCCAATTATTGGCAAAAGTTCACTACTATTCTGAAATGGACTAGTCTTCAACAGATTTTTTCGCTAGATCCACTGATCGATATCAAGATCTTGGATTTTAAGAGTTGGAATACAGACTTCGAGGACAATATGTACTACTTGACATCTAGTACCTTCCCAATGAAGTCTATGTTGAAGATGTGAAAAACAACAACTTTAGAAATGATCGGTGAGTTCAGTGGAAAAATCTATTGAAAACTAATTCATGTCAGTATAATACTGGATTTGTAACTCGATTCTTATTTAGTCGAGTGATCTTGAATCGCTGCTTGCAATCTTAGTTTGTCGAACTGTACCTGTGGAAAACATTTTGCAAAAAAGTAATACTTTTCATGCAAATCAAAACTTAGTAAACATCTTTTACGTAAGAACTATGACGAATATTATGAGAATCTATTGTGATGTTTGTATTCATAAATGCAGTTGACACAAATCTGGCGAAAGTACAGTAGACATTTAGCAATGACAAAATACTCTGTTGGTGAACTTCCGGTTGCTCGTGCATGAGTAAAATCATTCGTTAGCGACTTGACTTGGCAGAATTAAAGCATGTATATCTCGAAATAATGAACTTTCCTAGAGCTGATTTATATATGTTAAGTTACTCTAGATGCTCTGAAAAAAAAAAACAGTGATAGAGACTTTTCTTCAGAGGATTTATCGGTGAAAAACTAGCGTCAGCGACGTGACACAAAAAAAGATATTGACTTTCACTTCATGCATTTTAGTTTTAAAAAACTTCCATTTTGAAAACTAAATAGTCCATGTTGTAGACAACTTCTGAGGATACAAAATCTCCATCCAAAATTTTTTCTAAGCATGCCTAAAAAAACCAATGTACTTTTCGTTAGCGATGGTACGGAGTATGAATATACGAAGAAAAAAAAAAGCTCTTATAACTGAATGAGAAGTTCGAAACCAAATCTACACGATATAAATCCTTCTTTGATATCTCTAGATGATGGTAAGACACAAATTCCTATTTCAAAACTTGATAGGATCTCTAGAGAATCGATTTTCAGAGTTCAATGCAAAAACTTTGCTATAGATGCGGTTTGTGTCGTGGAGTGCATCCTGAAGTTTTTATACATTTTTTCTCATCTAATTAGAGAGATATTCGTCGATTATTTTTTAATTAATAATCAGCTGAAAGAGCCAACATTTTTACATATGTCTATGGTAAAAGAACTTATTCAGAAAAATAATTCTTGTAAGAAACCAACGATGGATATGTCTCATTTTTGTGTGTGGTATTCGTGAAGGTATGTGTTGATTGGCTGGAATGCAGTGTATAGCCGTTGATGTTAGATACCTATATGTCGCTATTGGTATGTGTATGGATGGATGTCACGACGAGTGAGTTTGAGTATGAATGTGGATATGTGGTTATGGGTGTGATTGATTAAATAGATGAAGGGAAGAACTACATAGATACTTATATCCAAATCCACACGGACACAGACACTCATATGCACATCAATATCCATGCTCACAATCATTCTAGTAGTATGTTATATAGAACGAGTTGAGCCGAGGGTCAAGTGAGTCACAACGATAAGCGTTATTTGAAATAGATTATTGAATTATTCTTATTCATTAAAACTTTCTATTTTATTTATTTATTCGACTTACATGTTATCTAAATGATTATCATCTGAATTTTGATCTTGTGTTTGTTCTTCTCGTATATTTGTTCGTCTTTGTTGTTCACGTGGTAATTTAACATATGCAAGTGTTTGTTCAACAAAATCTAATAATATTGGATGAATCATAATTGGTGTTGTTGGTGATTGTATCATAGTACGACAATAAATACTAGCTCGTTTATCTAATGAATTAGCTGTTTTATTATAATGTTTTGTATTATAATGTGCATCAACATCAACACCCGGTAAAGAAAATTGTAATACTTGATATTCAATTTTATTTATAACTTCAATTAAACCAAGTGTTGCTTGTTTTTGTTGTTTAGTTAAATTTGTTGTTACTGATGTATGAGCTATAAGATCATTACGTGTATAAAGATTACAAGAACCACTAGCTATTTGAATTTGTAAATTTAATTCTAAATCAACTGCTGGAGTTGATGTTATTTCATTTGGATTACTTGTTGTAGATGAAGGACTTAATTCATTATCATCATGTTCATTTGATGGAACACTAAAAATTACAAAAACAAAATAAGTAATTAAATTTGATAAAATATTTGTTTGTTTTTATATTAAAAGCAGATAAGGGAAATAAGGTTATTCTAAACCCAATAAATAAATTGTATTTATTATTTTCAAAAATACCTATGGAATACAGTCTCAAATGGATTTTTTTCTCTAGAAAGAATAATAGATAAAAATTTCATTTATGAAAAATTACAATTAAATTTCTTACCGATTAATAACATCTGGAGTAGATAGTGTTTCATTTTCTATATTTTCTTCATGAATTGATAATGGAGTCATGTGTGCTTGATTTGTGACCAGATCCGATCTGAATATAAACAAGAAATAATATACATCATTTTTTTTTTTCTTCAAAATTTTTAACAATTAGATCATGCATAGATTCTCTTTGATCTATATATTTATTCTTATTACCATCACCTTTAATATTAATTTTTGAATAAATATTCATTAGTAGAATATTATTTTATATGAATTTTAGATAAGTTAACCGTGCAAAAACTTATGTCCTATAGAATAAAAATTTCTCATACATTCGTCGACGCTCTAAACCAGACGACGACGCAAGTGCTGTTGCATACATAAGAGAATAACGTCGTCGACTAATAGCAGATATACAAAAAAGTTAACCACCATTGTATTATGATTTATTTTTACTTTTTATCTAATAAAAACAAAAAAACGAAATACGTACCTAGCAGTTTTTAATCGTTGAGGATTATCTGGTAATTGCACTTGTTTATGATTTGGTACACTTAATGTTGATAGATATGTTCGATTACGATCACGATTAAGTGAAGTCTAAATTGAAAAAAAAAAAGAATTTCTTAACGATATTCAATAGATACAAATAATTTACAACAAGCATCATATAAAATAAATGTATAAATAAAAAAAGCATAAATATTGTCTCTAATAAATGAATAAAAATGAAGAGAAAAATTAATTTTATCATTTTTAAGTCATATAGTCTTTCAAAAAAAACAACATTAAATACGAAATGCAAGCTATATAAAACATGCAGGCTGAATAATAATAAAAATGAAATAAATGAATAAAATCAAAATAACAACACAACATTCATTGTCAAACAATAGAGGCGAACCCTATATAGAGTTGATTGTTGAAATAATTCATGTTGTTCTTGTGCTGGAAGACTTTGTTGTTGTTGCAACTGTACGGACTAGAAAACTTAGTTTTTTATCTTATTCTACTCAAATTAAATTCCTCATTAGAACATTAAGAATACAAATCATTGACGACAATTTATACATTCAATACATTAACGAAGGAAAGCTACTTAAGAAGTAAGGCTCTATAAGTGTGTATTCCATCAATGGAATTTAATATTATGCAAGGCAAAGATACACAGTTGTGTTTAATGTCTTACTCTATCAAACCTTGAACTGTGACTAACATTGATTGAGTAATATGTGTATGATAGTTTTAGTAAGTTTCGCATGTTTTTCATGCTAATCCTGTTTATATTTGAATTCATTAGTATATGTTAGTTACACTTCTATTGATTGAAATAGTAAATAAACGTTTATGTAGAGTATGTAAAATTGAATACAAAATATTTTGATAAATTTAGTTTTAATCTCATGAAAATATTATTTTACCTTAGTTGATTGTTTTTTCATTTTTTGTTGTATTTCTGTTTTAACTGTATGTAATAATTCTTTTTCTAACCATTGATAACGAACTTCTTCAGGTTTTAAAATTTCATATGGTGCTTGAGTTCGTCTACAATCATAAACATATTTTAAATACATAAGATACGAGAAAATTATTTTCGTCCAACTCTCTAAAAATCCATCATTTGAAGGTAAATATTTTATTATAATGCTTAGACATATGTAAAAATATTAGCTCTTTCAGCTGACTTTTAATTAATAATTAATTAGTGAATATCTTTCCAACCATACGAGGAATAAATCCGAGAACTTCAGAAGATAGACTATATGACACGAACCGTATCTATGGTGAACTTTTCAGCAAGATTGGATTTGAAAAAGCTAGTTTTCTACATGTCCTATCAAGTCGTGAAATAAAAACCTTTCCGTCGTACCATCATAAAGAAATTCTGAAAAAGGATTTATACTTTTTGGAATTAATTCTGGACTTCTCAATCGGTTATTAGTGAATTCTTTTTTCGTTTCTATATTCGTACTCAGTCACGTCGCTAAAGAAAAGTAAATTGATCTTTTTTTTTTGAAAAATCTAGACATGCTTAGAAAGAACTTTGGATAAAGATTTTGTAGTCTCAGGAGTGGTCTATTGAATGGGCTATTTAGTTTTCAAAATATTGCCTCAGTTTGAAGGGTTTTTTTGGCTAAAATACCTGAAGTAAAAGTCGATATCCTTTTTTTTATGACACGTCGCTAATGCTAGTTATTTTATTGATAACTCCTCTAAACAAAGGTCTCTAGTGCTGATTTTTTCAGGGTTTGCGGAGTAACTTAGCATACATGCAACATATAATAATTAGCTCCAGAAAACTTCATTATCCTGATATATATGTGCTTTCTCTTTAGAAAGTCACATCGCTAATAAATGATTGTGCTCATATTTAGGATAATATATGCAAAACTTCTGTCCTTCAGGTCTGATAGATCGTTGTATTATTGTCATTCCTTTCAGACTAGTCACACATTATTCTCGATCTGAACTCGAACTTTCTGATTGACAAGACAGACATCTCAAAGTATTGAACTGGCCATCAATTAATAGGAAACATGAGCTGGGTTGGAACTGCAGTGAGACAGGCTAGCTTGATGTTATATTAGATTTTGTTATTCATATAAAAATCGTACTTATACGTCAAATCATGGTGTAAAACTAAACAAATACAATGATGTATCAGATCTTAAGATTTGAAATTTTGCTCGTAATCCTAAATATGTCTAAAAGTTGTAATCGAATACTTGCATCGAAATAAAAAATTTTTGAGGAGCTAGTCGAAAAACTTTTTCTAGTACTACTCGTTGTAAATCAAACATATAATCATATATTACTTTAATGTTGCAATTTTTTGTCCTAATATAGAATATTCATATTCTAATCTTTTTCTTCTTTCATCATCTTCACTTGGATCTTTATTATCATTAATATTCATTGTACTACCATTTTGTGTATGATTTAAATTTAAATTTTTTAATGAATCATTATCATGATTTATATGATCATTAGGTTCAATTAATTGTGTTGATGTTATTGTTCGTATTAATTGTGAAAAACGTTTACTTATAATTGAATCAATATTTATATCAATACCTTTCATATCCCATTGAACATTTAAAAACCATTTAGGACTATTTGAATTTGCCATATGTTTAGCACGTGAATGCATTGAATATTGTCCACTTGGTACACAACATGCATTTAAAATAACATTTGATGATGATGTTGATGAAGGTATTGGTTTCCAATTAGGATTTGTTTGTTGAAAATTTTCTGCAAAACGAAAACAAAAACCTTCAAATGAACCTGAACTTATAATAGCACCACATGAACATGCAGATATTGTTGTTTGATCAATTGTAAATACAAGAAAATCACTACTTTCATCATATGTTATTGATGTTTGTCGTTGATTTAATATTTGATTTGATTGATTATCTGTTGATAATTTTGCTGGTTGATCAATTTGTTGAAGTGGTATTGCAACACCTAAATCAATAATATGTAATTGAAACATAAGATTAAGTTCATTATTTTTTGTTGGTGATGGTTGAACATTAACTAATGAACGTATATGTGTTGAATCAGTTGTTGGAGTTGTAAATGCACCACGCTGTTCATTCCAATAATCATATGTATTTTTATAATTTAACCAAAAAAGAATTCCTATGAATGAAAAAAGTTTTCTTTATTTTTTTGTTTTATGTCAAAAAAGAATTAATTAAAGTTACCTTTATCAATAGCACCAGATTGCCAATAGAAACTTGGTTTAGTTAAACGAATAAAATAAGCTTTCTTTTCAACATCATCAAACTTAAAGAAAATAGAAAATCATTTAATTTTGATTTAGAAACAAAATCTTTTTCAATGTTAACCTATGACGCAAAAGTTTCGGCACAAAATATTCACCTATTTTTCGGTCACTTACAGACAGCTAGTTACAGCCAGAATCAGAATTTTTCTCTATGAAAGAATATTTCTTTCTTCGGTAAAATAAGACAAGTATCATCAAATTATTTTAAAATAATGGTTGTATAGAATACTATTTTGGTCAATTTTGTATTTCGATTGAAATCTATCAAATTCAAAATGTGAAGAACTATTTACTTTTGCATAACGGATTTTAAAACTTTTGTATTTTTGCAACAGTGATTTTTTCTTTTTACCAATGCCGCTTTTCATAGAAAGTAGATTTTTAATGTAAACACATATATGAAATTTCGCTCATTGTAATATTTAATTTAGTGCTCTACAAAAATATTGAGTCGAAGATGTTCCAAGACACAGACTAATAACTGCTTCAAAACCGCTATTTCGCTTTGTATTGGCAAAGGTTTTTTGATTTTTTTGAAAAATTTACTAGTACTTCTGCAATCTTAACTGAGAAAGAAAATCAGAACATATATTCGGAAATAGGAAAAAATTCTGATTCTACCTCTCCATCTATGACTGAAAAATAAGCAATTATTTTGTGCTAAGACATTCGCCCTATAGATTATTTTTGAGGAGAAAACAATGGAAATTTCGAGCTTGAAATCCATTGTTTCCCTTGTCGGTTATTTCATTTGGGAAATAGAATGCGAATATCGATGAAAGTATGACGAAACAATAATGTGTCAAAGGTCGTCATATATACTTTCAGATATTTTATTCAGTATAAGTCAAAACAGGAAATAGCAGACTTCAAAATTTCTTTAAAGCCTTCAACCCTGAAGTGTAGAGCCCGTTGGGTCGAAAATTTTCGGTCCCAGGACTCGACAGTCTCTGCTGTTTCTCTTCTCGATATAATGCTGACTTTTAATCTTATATGAGTTGGCAATCGAAAGTGGATTAGAGAACTTTTTTCGGTAAGATTAGTTAGAATTATTTGATAAACTTTGTGTTTTTCAACATATTTCATCTAGCTTACTTGAAAAGAATTTTTTAAAAGTAATTTTGTTTTAAAATAAGCAGCATCTTGAAAACTTCCTGTATGTAATAATTGTCCTAAACTAAGTTTAATATTTAATAAAGCATTTATTAATGCTTTATTATATAATAATAATGAATTTTGTTCATCATAATTTGTTAATTTAATAAGTATTGGTACTTTTTTATCACCATTTTCAAATTTAACAATTGTATTTGATGGTGTTTGTCCAATAACTCGAAAGCCTTTTATTGATATATTAATTTTATATATAAATAGTGTTGTTGATATTTTTTCTTGTTCATCATCATTATCATCGTCATTAAAATCATTATTAATATTATCTGACGTTGTTAAATTATTATTATTATTTTTTGATTCAGTTGCTTGAAATTGATCAACACCTGATACTTTACCAAGTATTTCATTTATTTCATGTATAATTACTTTTGAAACAAAAACTAATTGTGCAAGAAAATCAGCTGTTATTGTAAATTTAAGTAAATCAATATTTGTACGAATATTTAAATGTCCTTTTCGTTGATTATTTTGTTCTTGTTCAATAGTATAATTTCCATAACAACGTATTTGTGGAAAATCAATTCGTACGTGATTATCTGAACTAACTGTTGGAAGTTGATGAATATTATTTGTATTATTATTATTTAAAAAATGTAATGCATGTTCATGAACAATAGCTGTAAACTGTGATTTTGTTTTACCAAGATTTGCAACACCTTCAACAATACCTATTTTATATTGAGCTTTAAGTGTTGATAAAAGTGTTGTAGAAAATGACATTCCTTGACAATGTGCAGTTATATGAACTTCAAATACAGGTTTTTTTGATGCTGATGATATACTTGCTTCAGTTTGTAAAATATCAACTGGTAAACGTGATGATAATGTTCGTTTACGATGACTATATGAACGTTTTTTCTTTGAAGTTTGTTCAATTGTTGTTGGTGGAATGATTTCTTGAATTGTTTCGTTTATGTTTGTATCCATTTGTTTTAATTCATCAGTAGGTTTTGATAATATTGTAGATGATTGTTGTATATCATCAGGAAGAAATTCTTGTACATAAGATGTTAATAAACGACCTGCACGGTTAACTATATCATGAACTTCTTGTGGTCGTAATGGAACATCCATTGCAATTGTACCAATATTTGTTACACCACTTAATCTTAAATTCATACCACGAGTTTGAAGAGATGTTAATGCTCGAGATTTACCAACAATAATATCAAGTACAGATATTTCTCGAGTTGATAATGAAGTATTAGAAGGTGTTTCATTTAAATGAGAAGTATTATTGTTACTAAGAAGAGTATCCGAAGATGTTGAAAGAGTTTCTTTAAGTGAAAGAGAAGTCGAACCAATTTGAACAATTAATGATCCATCGTATCTATATTAAAGAATTCAAGTTAGAAAAAGCACTATTGAAAAGATTGACAAATAAATTTTAATTCCTTGGGAAAAATTTAAAGAAACTTTCTTTCTATGTAGTTTAATAATGAAAACAATGGTCTACATTTGTGCGATATGTGATCATTCTTCAACTAAGGTCAATATGCATTTTATCAAAAAGACAAACCACCAAAATGAAGATTGACAAAATTCGGCAATATTTATTTCTGACGATATTCTAAGATGATACTTGTAGTATATACATATGATAAATATTCCGAAAGAGTGAATGTAAGCAATGGTCGCAGAAACGAAACTTACGAACATAGATAATCGAAAGAAATTCAATCGTCTACATTTTAATGATCACTATTTTGGTGATGTTTGTTTCGGCACGAGCTTCCTTGATGATAGACCGTCTTCGATATATATCCTTTACTTGGTGTTCTTTTTTCTTTTCTTCTCTAATGCCTTATTAATTTATAGAAAAAAGTGATGTCTGTAGAACAAAAAATTAATATAGAGACAAGTTCATCAAGTTCTTCATTTAAGTATTTCTCCCAGTCTAGCACCATGCGACTTTTTTTTAGTTATTCGACTCAATCAAACAAAATCTAAGCGATCAAAACGATTTTAAACCGTTACATCATGCTATAAACAAGTTCATGTATTCTTTGAATAAAGAAGAGTATTAAAAAAAAAAGATATTCGATAAATGGATTCAACAAATGTAATTGAGTGTTCAAATAACCAGGACAATTATTTCGAATATTTAATGAAACAAAAACTTGATGAACTTGTTTCTACATTTAGTTTTTGTTCTATTGTCATCGCTTTTTTTTTATACCCTACTATGTATAGATGACTGATAGAAATGTGCCGAATTATTCTACCCTTCATAGTAGGGTAGAGTAAGAGTAGAGATTCTATAGGGCACAGTAAGGTAATAAAATTTTTTTTAATCAGGGTACTGGATACGAAAAAGGCTTATCCTGCACATCTCTAACGACTAGGCATTAGAGGAGACAAGAATAAAGAGAAGATCAAGACGAGAATACACATCGAAGACAAAATATGATCGAATACTACTGTTACATATGACAACAAACAGCTTTTATCGAAATTTTATTATTATAATATTACTTACAGATTGGTAAAATATCAAAAAAATGTAGAGAGTTGCTTTTACTATTAGATCATATAGAGAAAGAATTAAGAATTAAGATAGCTCCACTACTACTTTTAGTATATGCCCAAAGTATATTTAATCAATAATCAAATAAAAGAGTTTCTTTTTTACTTTTTTGAATTATGACTATTTTTATTTGCTTGTAAAGCTCGAAGTCTTTGTGATAATGAAATACTTCCTTGAACTTTTCCCATACAACCATCAACTTTAAGACTACCTAATGAAGCTGCATAATATATTTCATCAATAATTAACCAACCAAATGCTGAAAGTAAAAGTGTTCCATTTGTTATATCATTTTTTGTTGGTATTAATTGAAATGATGTATTTCTATTTTCTTCTAAACTATCATCATTTGATACTTCTGAATGACTTCTTTTATGTTTAGATATTTTAGGTAATTGCTTTATATCTGTTGATGTTTGATATATAGCAACAAGTTCACATAATTTTTGCCAACATTGTATTTCAGAACTAATTAAATCATTATTATTAATATGAAGATTATTTAATTGGAAAGATGTTGAAGTAAAATTATCAAAATCATTTATTGTAGTTGCTCGTGAACAATTTAAAAATGAATCATTTTGTTGTTGAGAAATATTTATATCTGTTTTACCTATTTCATCCATACTTATATATTCGAATGCATTACCAACAACTGTATAAATTTGATAAACAAGACGTAATAATGATAGATTAAATTCTTGTTTAACACGTTGTACACGTATACCAGCTTGAACATTAGCTGAATGTAATTCATTATGTTCAAGTAATTGTTTACAAACACTATGAACATTTAAATTTGTTACACAAAGTATAGATAATTCAACAGATGGATTTAATATTATTGATTGAGAATCATTGATAAGTTCATTTGGTAAAATTTTAACATCAAATTGTTTTATTTGTGCTGATGCTAAAACAGTTTGACCTAATTTTTCAAATAATGGTTCAATTGATGATGTAACTGATAATTCTACACCAGCATATTCAAGTAGAATTTTAAATAATTCTTCAACTGAACTAGCATCAGTATAATAAGTTATTCCACTATATGAATTGGTATGATTGCGATTACTCGATCGAATATGATTTGTATTTCGTTCAAAATCAGATTCATTAGCACCAATACTTAATCGTCTATAACCAGATGTATTATGGATATTAGCAGTTGGTTCAAGACGTCGTAGAGCATCACCTTTTATAAACAAAAACAAAAGCAAAAACGATTGAATTAATATATATATATATATACATATATTGTTGTTGTCACTTCAATTTAAAGCAAAGAAATCATGCAAATATGTCCATTGTATATATATTTAATATGGACCGTTTTGTGAATGTACATCAAAATAATCATAGAACTTGCATGAAGTCTTTTTTTAAAGCAACCATGCTTGATTTGATTTTATTAGCAGGAATTTTTCTTGACTTATGCCTGTGGAAAAATCTTACCTTGATCAAATGCTACGTTTACATAACCTGTAGATTGTGCTATAATAATTTAGATATACACTCATGCTTATACATGCATATTAGGCTGAGATCATTAGTGCAAATAGCCGCAATGGGTTAGACAAAAAAAAAACAACAACAAAGTTTTTCCATGGAAATTAATCTATTATAAATTCAAATAAAATATTTCATGGATATTAGAATATTTCACTAAAACTATAAATGAAATAGAATAACGAGAGTTCATTGTATAAGTCTTAGTTGTCTAACTCGAACCAAGGTTTAGCAATCGATTTGTAACTCAAAGACCAATAATTCGATCCTATTCAAGATGGTTAGTGGCATTGTACTAAATTTAAATTTTTATCGGTAGACCTCGATGAGAGTTTGTTCCTTTTTTTGCATTTAAAATGTAATATCACTGACGGTCATTGGTTTTTTTCTTCTTCTCAAGTATCTAGTTTAAACACAAGATCAACTAATATTACTATAATATATTAGTAATCATGTTGATTACAACAATGTTTGATGTTATACATAAAAAAATTACTTTTTTACCTAGAAAACTAGATGCCCGTGGACGTTCTGGTACTGCTGATGAGATCTTTCTCATTTCAATCATTGTTTCTTTAGCACTCGTATGCGATCGAGTTTTATTTAATATCGAACGTTTTCGAGCAGTTGAATTAGATGTCGTTGTATTATCGATTCCATTTTGATGTTGTCTTGATTTAACTGATGGATGTTCTACAATCGATTCACGTCCAAGAAGATGTTGAACACGATTGACCATAGTTGGTGTTTGTCTAACATCTGCCATCTGTTCTTGATTATTACTATTTGTTGATAATAGATTATCAAAAGGTGATGATATTATTATTCGACCCATACGTGAATTTTTTTGTACTTGTAATTTAAATATTTGAGCCCAAGCACGACATGATTCACGTATACCTCGTTTTAATATATCTATTTCTGGTATTATATTTTCTTGAAGACTAATATTCATTTGTGTTTCTTTATTAAAACGTTTTCGAAATTCCGTAACAAGTTGACAAACAGGATGTGAAAGAAGATATTTTGTTTTAGGTGTAAATAATTCATATAATTTACTTTCTGCTAAAGTTGATAATGGTATTGCTTCAATAAGAAAATAAGCTAAAACAGCATCAAGACGTTTTTCACGTTTTTTAAGAAATTTTTTACAAGGTTTCTTAATACGATTAATAACACAAAACCAACCAAGAACAGTTGGTGATAATGTTGAAAGAAAATTCCAATCATAACGCGTATATGATGAAAGATTTTTCTTTTGTATAGGAATTTCTTGTGTATTAGTTATTGAATTAGTATGTGATCGTTTGAATAAATTTGATGTTAATTGTGTATGACGTGGAGGTTCAGGAAATGATATCCATACATGATCAATTGAACCATCGAATACACTACTTGATAATGAAGTTGGTGCTGATGAAACTGTGATCGATGGAGTAATCGTTGAAGGAGATGAAGCCATTGGCTAAAGAATTCAAACATTTTCAAATTTTAGTCTGTATAAGTGTCAATTGAGTTCTTAAAGAAAATGGAATTAGAAATTTGATTAGAAAAAGATGATTAAAACGAAAGTTTCAATTTTACAAAAGGTCAAAATGCGTACTTTTTTGCTTTCAAATTTCATTTATTAATATCCAAAAAAACAACAACAACGATCAAGACCACATTCAGCAATTATCTAACACTAATCTTTTTGTGAAACACAATCTAACAGGAGTGTTGAAGTATAGAGATAAAAATTTGGACTCCACATGAGCTGTGACAAGCAGAAAGCAACAAAGAATATCTCTGCCTTTTGGTATTGGATACTGTCTACCGGTAGATTCAGTAGCCTAATATCTTCCCTACAACTAATACTAACTATAGCTCTGGACAGAAGGCCAATCTGACGCAGAGTTCTAGCACTTCTCATAGATACTAACTAACCACAAGGACAGGTGTATGTCACAGCATAGTCAGTCTGCTATCGGACAGGTGATTCTGGACAAACAGCTGTTAATGACTTGTTCAGGATAATTCTATGGCTGGTGGTACTGAGGTTTAAACCTCAATACATTGTGGATATATATTGAACAATGCAGCCATTTAGCCATGGTAGGCTTAAGACCATAACAGATGTTGACGGTATATGATCAAAGATTGTATATGAATAACGTCTCGTTCTAATATATGAACTACAGAATGTATCAAAAGTGCATCGAGAAAAAGAACAGAAATAAATATGTAAGCTTTCTATAATTTTGTTCAATGTTTTTTAAAGTATTGTTTCGTATAATTTGATTTGTGTACTCTGTTTAAAATGTTTGCATTGAAATGAAACTTGTAAGTCCACTATTTTCGAATTTTTTGACATTATAAAAGATTACATAGAATTTCTATTGAAATCAGTGCATTTTTCTCATTGATTCCTTGCGTTAATTCAATTTAATCTTTAATAGACATCTTGCAGACATTGTCTTTCATATGTTACCATAGAAAAGAGTTCGAGAAATGCTAAGTCCTATGAATGTGAAGCTCATCGAAGAGAATCACTTCGTTGAATTTGTATGTTAGGAAGAATGCTATCTAAAACCGAATGTACTTCATTGTCGAAATGCTAAGACATCTAACTTTGTTGAACCACTTAATGATTTCTATCATTTCAAACAACCTGAACACATGCTACTAACACATTTTCACTATCAATATGAACTGCATCGACTCTTTCTTTTGTCATTATTGTAGAACGTTCAGAATATAACTGGTAGAACCAGTCGGGTCCAAATTTTTTGAACCTAAACTCGATCGAACTGTACTTCGATACTCTCAATGAAATTTTTCTAATAGGAATTGGATAATCACTCTGAAGATATAAGATATTTTTTTCTGATTTTTTGTATTCGGTAATTAGCATATATTACACATTTTTCAGACGACTAGAGTCCATCAGGTACAAAATTTTCAGACCCGATTAACAGAAAAATCCCAGATCCAGACTCTACCTGCAGGAATTATATTAACAATTTTTTCTTTTTTTGTTTTTGTAAACTTACATCCAATGATTTTCTTTTGAATCTATGTTTAGCTGATGGTTTACTTGTTTGTGTTTCATTAATCTGCGTCGCAGTTGGTACAATATGTTGTCGTTCTTGTTGTTGTTTAGCTGCATTATTAATTAATTTAAAACAAAGTCGTTGTAAACCAAATTCATTCATAACAAAACCAAAATTTTTTCTATTTATACCAATTGATAAATGTGTTTGAATATCATTTGGTATATGAAATTGTAAACGACAACGTTGAGATTGTATAGCATGAATATTAACATTTTCAATTGATGAAAAATTATTTTCAAAACGACGAAATTGTCCTGTTATTGATTGAATTTTAAAAACACCAGCTGTTGATTGATCACGTTTAGATAAAATTGTTTCCATTTGAATTTGTCTACATGATAAAGCAAATAATGACATTGTAACAATATCAACTGGTGTTTGTAATTCAGTTAATTGAACATGATCTTCTGCTAAACCAGCTTGTAATAAACAAATATTTATTTTTGGTAATTGAAAAGAAATTTTTGTTGATGATAAATCAATTGATGTTGATGGAAAATTTGATGTTGTTTGAGCATGAAAATGAAGACCATCAAGAACTGATATTGGATGTAATTCATATGTTTTCCATTTTTCAATATATGTTGTTAAACATTCAAGCATAAGAGGTGTTAAAAATATATTTAATGAACTAATAAATCGAAGACATAGTTCTGTTTCAGTTGCAATGGCATTTGATGAATTCAATGAAGACATTGTTAATGGGGCTACTGAACGTGATCGATAATATGTTGATGGATATTGTTGACGTGATTGTATTGATGATACAGGTTCAAATAGATATGAACATGAAAAACCTTGTGAAACACAATTAAAATCAAGTAATGGTTGATGATTTATTTGATCTTGTTGAATTAATGGAGGAAATGAAGAAATATTTGACCAAGTTGATGAACGATAATGAGATAAATAACGAATATATGTGGTACATAATAATGGAGATTTTGGAATGGGCATTTTCATTTGACTACTTAAATTAATCCATGATGCACTAGGTAATGAAGGTGGAAGAATTGAATTGTTTTCAACATTTGATGAATTACTCTAGAGAAAGAATAAGTTATTTTATTTTGTTTTTAATAATCATATTCATATTAAAAGCTTTCCATTGTTAAAGATTATGATATGAAATTGTTATATATCTATTCTATGATTCAATAATATTCAATGAATTATTTATATTATTTCTAGTAGGAATTCATGTATAGATATGAACTTTTATACTCAAACTTAAGTCTATACTTTCTTTTAATAACAAACTATAATTCTTAGCAGAGTCTTAACTAGATCACTATGTACTACAGCCCGTTGGGTTCAAAATTTTCGGATTCGGACTTAACTGAGTCCAGATACGAGCTCTACCACTAAGCCTATCTGTCTTTGACAGGCAGGTCGCTTGAAAAATACAAGCGATCGGATCTATGTACTTTTTTTCTTTGATATTAAAGTTTTATCTTATAAGTTGAATATATAACCGATAAGTAGGTACAGCGAAATTAATTGCAAAGGTGAACATTTAAAAATAATGAATTAGATAAATATTTGAAAATGAATATTGAAGATACTTATAAACAATCAAATCCATTATCATTCTAGAGAGATCATCAACACAAATTCTCATTTTGATCATTATTTGCTTGTTATCCTTTTGAATACTAATCAATTCAACTGAGGCTGAACGTTCTTTCTCTACTACAGGTTTAGCAGTAACAGTATATCGTTTCTCTATCGATCCTAATACAGTGAATAGTATTTTTATCTGTCAGATTCATTCAAAATATTCTTGAACGAAGCCCAAATTTTTCTTCTTAAAATTACTATCTTTTTATTTTTCTACATAACACCATTGTTCTATTCCTCAATGTTTAATCTAAAGTAAAATCGTCCATTATAAACATCTCTATAATATGAACACATTTTTTTTGATTTTCATCAACTTGAACAATCTTAGTAAAGTGAATATTTTGTGAAACACGATTTAAAAAAACTGTGTTGAAGTATGGAGTTACATATGTTGAACTCCAGCTTCCTTCAGAAACATCTTAGCAACGACGCATCATAAACATAACAAATGTTATTGGCATATGACCATGGATCATATATCAATAGAGTTTCGTTAAAGTACTTCCTTATCACATTAAGTAAAATGATAGTGAAGAAATATGTCTCAAAATAGATTGAATAAAACAATCTTCCTGTGATTAGTAAGAGCAATTATATCATGTGTCACAATTTCATCTCACCGGAATTGTGCTAATAGTTTTTTTTTCGCTCTACTACAAGTTTTATATGTTATCTTGTACATACAAGAATAGAGCACATGTTTGAATACTCCTTTAAATGTTTACACTGGAAAGTTTTTACTGTATTGATGTTAAACTGATTTCAATGATTTATTGGACTTTCTCTTAAGATGAAAACTTAATTCTATTCTTTGTAAATCTCTGCTTGTTAGTATTTTCTTGTTTGGTTTTCCTATTTACTTTTTGCGGTATTGATTTTTCTGGCTGTTGTTTTTCAAGTATTTCTTCGAAAGCTGCTAATGAATCTGTTGATGATGAATCAGAAGATTTTATTGATAAAGTTTCTTCGTCATCTGAAGATCTTGCTAAGAAATTAAAATGTGCTGGTATTGATGATGAAGTTATTGATGATCGATGTAGTGTATCAGTTGATACTAATGATTCTAGAATATTATTTGTAATATTTAAATTTGTTTGTCTTGAAGCATTTAATGATAAATGTTCAGCTGGTGTTAAATAGACATCATTTGTTGTTATTGATGATGATGAATCATCAGTACCAGTACTATATGGTGTTGTGGATACTGATAAACGTTTATGAGATTTTTTTTCACTTAATGATTTACGTTTTGTTTGTTGAAATGAATTAAGATTCATAGATATATTAGAATCTGAATGATTTTGATTAGAATTACGAAGTTCTTGTTGATTAATTTGACTTTTTTGTCTACAAAAATCAAATGGATAAAAAGTTTCTTCATTATTTAATTGTTCATTTGATACAGATGAATGTTGATAAGTATGCCAATTATATTTATGTTGAAATACTGGATGTGAATGTATAACATGTAGATCAGGACGAAATAAAGAACGTCCAAATAATGGTTGTTCACTAAGACGAAATGAACTTTTAAAAAATTGTTCACCTTGAACGAGTGTATAATAATTTGATGAACCACCAAGACATGCACATGATGAAAGACTTATATTTGTTGATAAACTCAAATTTGATGGTCGTCTTAAATTTGTTATTGTTGTTAATTGTTGAGATTTTATGTTATAAAGAAAATGAAGTCTTTGTGTTTGTTGATCATGTCGACGAAGAAATTCAATTTGTTCAATTATATTAATTTGTGTTGGAGGATGACAATCAAATTTTGCATTCATATGTAATTCTGGTATATGAATAGAACCAGCTTCTAACCATGAACTAGGATAAAGACGAACTAATTGACGAATTTGAATAGTACCCACTTTTAAAGTTAAACTTTCATTACATAAACTTGTATGCATATTACACATACATAAACGAACTGGTGCGACCTAAAACAAAAAGACTGTTAGTACAATCCCTGCAAGATTAAAATGTAAAATATGATGTAACTGCTGTTGCTAATCATAGAGAGATTGCTATATTCTATCTATTTTGGGGCATATCTCTTCATCATACTTTTATTTAATCTTCCAAAAATGCAATAAGAAAGCAGTTCGTATATTGTAACGAGACATTATTGATATATAGTCTATGATGTTATGTCAAAAACGTCTGTGACAGAGAGAGGAGATGTTACTAAACCACCTGTGATGGTCTCTATCTAGCGTCTATCATAATTTGTGGTGGTCTCTGATCAGCGTCTTTCGACCGTTTTAATACAATGTGTATAAGGACCAAAGCATTTCCGAAAAATCCGAAACTAAGATTTTGTCTATAGATGTCTTGGATAGTGATTAGATAATTCTGAAAGTTTCAAAGAAAACGAACATGTATTTCTCGAGATATTTATTATCCAAAAAAAAGCAGCAGTTTCCCCTAAGAAGATAGAGTAATTGAATCTACTTGGGAATTGAATATCTCAAGAAAGACGTTTACTTTTGCTAAATACTTCACTAAAAGCGCCATAACTCTTCATTAGTAAGCCATGGGCCCGAATCATTTTTAATTTATCTTAGTCTGATTGAGACCTACTCGTAGCTATAATATGAATTCGAATAGCATCTATCATTTGGGCATGTTTTCTTATAAGTCACATGGGAATAAAAAAAAAAGAAGAATATCTGATCAACTGTACTCTCACACTTGAGCTTTTCTATATTTTCTAATCTCTTCGTGAAACATTACATTTTGAAAATTTTGTTTCTCTCTCCATGAATAATTAGTTCAACTATCAGAGATTAACGAAATAAATTTTCTCACCTGTGCATGAAGAGCGTTTCCAACTTCAATAATACTAAGATCAACTGAATCTAAACTAAATCTCAATACATCATATTTAAGTTTTTCAATCCATTTTGTTTTATCCATAACAGGTGAACGTATCAATGTATATTCATTTGCATTGATTTGTAAATAAAAATTTTTTAAAAAAGCCAATATTTTTTCCATCTATTAATTAGAAAGAAAAAAAACATTTGAGTTTATTTTTAATAGAAAAAAATTTTTTGTTTATTTTAAAATACTTGAATTGTTGTTACACGAGCTGATATTTTACCAAGTAAAATTTCCATTTGCCATGCATATTCAAGTGTTTCACGTTCAGGTGGTAAACCTTCATGAGAAAGCATTGCATGACCACGCATTATCAAACCTGATAATTGAAGACTTCCACTTGATAAATGTTGATCAGATTTATTTCTCTGTAAAGACAGAAAATTTAAAAAAAAAATTTTTTCGAATTGAATACTCATATATGATTTTTATTGTACGAAAAGAGTAAAATAAAAATCCGTAGATACGAATATTACTTGAGAAATTTTAATACAAAAATAAATTTTGTTTTTTTTACTATCTTTTAATCTAAAAATATTATATTAAACGAGATCTAATAAACATTAATAAGAAAATACATAGGTGATTTCAAGTAACATGGAACATACCAATCTTTGATTCATTACTAGGGTTATTTTTCTGAATAAGTTCTTTTAGCATAGATATATGTAAAATTGTTGGCTCTTTTCGCTGACTATTAATTACAATAAATTAGACTATTAATTAACTTTTTTATTTCTTAATTAATTAAAATGTAATTCGCTAATATCTCTCTAACCACATGAGAAAAAAATCCGAAAATTTCAGGATAAACTCAACGATGCAAACTGCATCTCTAGCAAATTTTCAGTAAGATCACACGCGAGAAAACTGGTTTTTTAAATATCCCATTAGGTCCTCAAACAAAGTTTTTTGTTTCACCATGATCTAGAGATTGGGAAGAAGGATTTCCACTGAATAGAGTTCACTTCGAACGTCTGATTCGGTTATAAGAGCATTTTTTTATTTGTATGTTCGTATTCCGTCATGTCACTAACGAAAAGTAAATCAATTTTTTTGAAAATCCAGGCATTATTCAAAGAAAACTTTTGTTTCAGATTTTGTAGCCTCAGGAGCTGTCTACAGGACGTACTACATAGTTTTCAAAATATTGCCTTGATTCGAATGTTCTTTAAACTAAAATCTATGATCTGTACATCGATATCCTTTTTTGATGTCACACCACTATTGTACAGTCTTTGTTAATATACTTACAACAACTGTGTCTTCAACATAAACATTAACAGGTAAAATTACTACTTGTAGTCTTGTTTCATTTAAATCAGTTGTCATTTCAACACATAATCGTTCACAAAAACCAATTGGACAAGGTTCATTATCAGTATGCTAAAAGAAAAAGCCGAGAAAATTTATTGATAATGAAAAGAAAAAAAAATCTTAATTTTACATAAATCAAATGAACTGTTATATTATGAAGTGCAACACGTAACGTAACCATTAATGGTCGAAAATATCGTGGATCAAATGGACAATCTTCATCAATCATATTAACAAGTGGATCATCTGGTATAATAATCTTGTTTTCACGTATTAAGTCTGGTTCGTGTATATCATGATACATTTGATCCCAACCGAATAAATTTTCCTTTAAAATTGACAAACCAAAGAAAAACAGAGATTTAGATATTTAAAAAATTAATTTATTTACTTACTTTAACCCACCAAAGATTTTTTATAAATAAACCATGTAAAAGTAAATTAACAGGACCAATATCAATTTCAATATTAAATATATCGTAATCAAGTTTATTCGGATGAAATGTTTGTCGATTTCCCATTGATCTTACTTGTTGAACATATAAAAGATCTGAACAGAAAAAACAAAAAATAAATATAAATTCAAAGCAAGAAATTATTTTCATGGCTTTTTTTTGTTTCTTTACCTGTTCGATTCGTATCAATGGGTGGTGAGGAATGAAGAAGAATTTGTACAAGAACCTTCAAATGACTTGTTTCACCGCATTCAAAACAATCATCCCTTTAAATGAAAAAAAGATTAGTTAGATATTATTGTAGATAATCTCAACACAGAGGGGGAGAGATTATTCTTGATTGTACACATCGCCAGTTCTCTCTTAGTCATGAGTGAAGGCGAAATATTTTTCTTGTGGTTAGTACTAGAGATCTGTCGATCGTAGTGTCATATCTTCCTATTCTACCGCAAAATGGTGCCTAGAGATACAAGGGTGACGATTATCCGCTGTCCCGAAGCAATAGCCGATGAAACAGTTATTATCATTGAAGCATCCCCAGTGGTGATAAAACCTTCGGCGACAAGATATGACGAGATTTGATGGATTTCTTTATCTTCGTTTTTTTGTATTGAGAACACGATTATTTCTATAAACATGTGTGATTATCAGAAGTTTTTTGAATTTTGAGATGACATATATATGTTATTTACTTTATTTGATAATATAGGAATGAAATAACGATTATGACATTTGTGCAGAACGAAGAATACGGAATCTATATAAGCCTAGAAACAATTGTGTGGTGTCGTATACAACTGTATTTTGCTGTTTTTTTTTTAATTCACGAGAAAAAGTCATCAACTGTTCAATTGCTTTTTAGTCATAACCTAGTGGATTACAGGTAATTGACTATGCTTATTCCGCATATCAACATGATTAGTGCTGACAGTCCTTCAAAGATTCGATTTTCTACAGTGAAAAACTTTTTTCAACATTTGAACAATTACAGTTGTGGCTAGAGAAGTAAAAAGTTTTAATTCGTATTATCTCTCACGCTTTTCGTTCAACATTTACATTCTATATGTTTTATTACTAACTTTATTTCAGATGTTACTCGATTCATTTTCATATTTGCCATTCAATTTTTGATCTATTTTAAGCCATATTATTATAACCTATCCTATCATTCTGCTAATAAAATCTATGCATGATCACCAAGGAAGGAATTATTTTGTACTTGTTTTTACAGTGATTATTTTCTTCCTATTTCTCGTCGTACAAAACTTTAGATTGTGGGCCTGTGGTGTGTGTGAAATAGAGATCTCACCTTCATCCACGCCCTTTTTTGACCTAGAGAAAACTTTGAGTAAGATAAAGTCCTTGCGAGGTTTTTCTCATCACAAGACCTTAAAAGATCAGAATTCGGAGTTCTCCGACGAGTTGCAGAGTGTGCTATAGATGTCTAAATATAATGTTGAAACATATTGTAGTGCAATAGCAATATATATCTGATACAATAATATCTAGTAGTATGAAAAAACCTATCGAAATTCAGGTACTAGAAAATTTTTACTTCTCTACTCTCATATGTAATGGTTCAAATTTTGAAAAAATAAAGTAGTTTTTTTTTATATTCAACTTGAAACGCTCTACAAACTAGACGGATAAAAAAATTTTTTTGACGAAAAGTGTTTTTTGCTGTAGAAGACTGATTTTTGAAGGCCTAGCATCAAAACTCATATTGATATTCTGAACCAGCAAGATCAATCACCGTTAATATGTTTTGGTCAAAAAGGGATTGACCAGTTGGTAACCTCCTCTCATCGATGTGATGTTCATAAATCTCCATGATCGTATACAGAGCAATAGAACCATATATGGAGACCGCGCTGATCTTCTCGGAGTACGATCGATTATGAGCGTACCCATTTAATCTGTGTGCTTTAAAAATGTGCAAAAAGATCATCTATGAAAGCATTTCTTTGATGGAGTGGAACGGTGACAAAATGATTTTTTAGTTATTATGAAGATCTCTAATTTGTATTGTGTTTTCTAGAAAAATTTTCATTATTTGCAAGAGATATTTGACAGCACAATAATTACGTGAAGCATGTTTACTAAATATTTTCGAAGGAATAATTATCGATGAGCAAGAAAATCTTGAAATTTCATTAATGTTACTTATGTAACTGGTATTTTATCTTGGTATAGTTATCTATTATTGAATGTAAGAAGAAGCAAAATTCCATAATCATCAATATTCATTTCTTGTCACAATAAAAAATAAATATTCAACTATATTCATTGATAGAGATTAACTTTTGAATAATTATTCGGTTTAATAGTATCTTCCAATTCTTTGAAAAAAACTTTCAAAATTCATATTAAATTACCGTTTATTAAATGCATCAGATAATGACAATTGTGATTTAATACCATCTGGTGTATAAAATCGTTTATGCATATCAAGTCCTTCTATAATATAATACATTTGATTACTTCGTGGTATAACAAGACGTACAAGTACGTCTTCAGTCTAAAAGAAAAAAAAAATTATTTTTATGATTTTATTTCTTTTGAAATAACTAACCTCAACTGTTAAATCCATTGCTGTAACTTTTGGACAAAATTCAAAAAATGGTAATGGATAAGTTAATACAAGTGATTTAGCACATAATGATACATAATCTTAAACAGAAAAAAGAAAAAGATATTTTGAAGTTAAAGCAAGTTAATAAATTTTTTTTTTTGTGTTTACATACTATTTTCTGCAGGTTGTTGAGCGTTTTCATTTGAACAATCAATCCAATTTCCTTGATTACATGGAATTAATATTTCAACTTGATCACCATGTACTGTTATATTATAAACAAATGGTGTAAATGAATATATATCAGGTGGTGATGATGATGACCAATCATTGATTAAAGCTAGAAAGATATATTTAAAAAAGAACGATTGAAAAATTTCAAAGAAAATTCAAAATATTTAAACCTTGAAAAAAGTTTTTATGTTCAAAGATAAAATAAATTTGAGGATTTTTTGTAGTAATATCAATAAGCCAATTTTGTAATGAATTCCATAAACGAGGATAATGAATATGAATATTAATCTAAATGAAAATGATTTTTATTTTTTTCATTATTTTAAATTATACTGTACATTTATATTATCAGTTTGAGCAAATGGTGAAAATGAAAGATTTGTACGAATTATTGGTTGTAATATATCAATTGATAAAAGTGTATCAAAACCATCAGGATTTGTTGAAAATGGCAATATTGCATCAAGATATGAACCTTTTACAGGACATTCAATATGAAGTAGTTGAAGTTTCTATGAAAAAAATTAAAAATTAAATATTAAAAACAAAAATTGTTTGAAATTTCATTTAAACCATTTTATGCATAAAATAAAGATCTAATATTGTTGGACAATTGAATAATAATCTAAAATGAACTGATTTAAATATTCGTGTTTGACCAATTGATGGTTCCAATGTTATTGGTGAATCTTCATATATGGTTGGTAAAAAATATTGCCATAGTAATTCTCTAGATATGAAAAATTTTTAGTGAAATTTATTATTTAGAAAAATTTCTTAAATAACCTTTGTCGATCAGCCCAAGGTCCATAGGCAATTTTCGTTTCTTTATTACATTTAATACGAATTTCCCATGCTACATCAGGTATTCGTTCGCCATTTTCTAATG